ATCCAATGAATCTTTAGCTATATATATGTATCATTTAAAAATAATTGTTCTTTACCATTTGCCTCGTGTTGATGTGAATTATTAGGCAATTTACAGGTACTTTTTTTTTGAAATATTAATATTTGTTGATCCTCATTAGAATGATATTTTGAATCATAAATTTTATCTTTACTATTTTAGATTTTTTTTTGTTACGGGAGAAAAAAAATTTACTCCTTGTGTATTTCTTTTACTATATATATTGTTATAATAAAAGTCTTAAGAAGGATATGAATGTTGTATGTATTCTTATATGTTTAAGTTTTTTGTATTCTTTACCGATTATACTTCTTTAATATAATCTTCTATGAAATTATAAATGTTGTAAGTCTGTTTTTATTAGTGCTGAAATTACTAATTTATGACATTTAGATTCATTTTTAAATGTACTTTTATAATATTTATTTACTTTTATCTTTCCTTACTAATATAGTTTCTTTAAGTAGCTACACATTTGTGTACTTACTAATATGGAGAGTAATGAGAGATTATTAAGAATAAGTCATATAGATATATTCATATTATTAGATGTTATAATAATATAATTATTTTTTTATATTTCTTGCTTGATGGTCAATGTACTATTCGATTATTATGAATTTTATTTAATAAATAAAATATAAATTGGTAAAACTAATATTTCTAATTTCAACATTATATAATAATTCAACTTTATAATAATTGTATGAGGCAAATGTGCGACGCACATTTCGGAAACTAGTTAGAAAAAAGTGTCACTAGCTCTAACTGATAGGGGCAATTTTTATTAAAAAAAATACTACCAACAAGCGTCTAGAAAAGTAGGGTATATAAGAAAAATGCTAAATATAACGTATTAGTAATACTATCATTAATAATATTGGTATTTGCTATGCTTGCAATAATTATGCCGAAAATAACGGGGAAAAGGGGCCATTCGTAGCTTTAATAATATTTAGTTTATAGCTTGAAAAAAAAATAAGATGTTGCATTTATTTATCGATTTTGGAATTTTCGTGCTTTTGTTTTTTACGTGACAATGTAGTTTAATACAAATGTAACTTTTGATCATAGGCTACACTTTTGATCACGGGATATGGTCTACACAACCTTAACATATTGAGTTCAGATGAACCTGATACGATTACTCTGCATCCACCTCTGTTCTATTAGTGACTCAATTTCAAATTGATATGGTGTGACAAATAGCCATGTCTCTAAATTGAGTTTTGATAATCATTGGTGACAAACAACATGTACTATAAGAAATGTTGATGTTCTGATAATTATTGGTGACAAACAACATGTACTATAAGAAATGTTGATGTTTTGATAATTATTGATTGCTTATTGCTATAGCCTACGAGGAATACTTACCTCTTCATCATTGAACAAGAATGTTTATACTATGTCATTCGATAAATGTCAAATTTTTATCGAGTGTTTGTTATGTGTTCAATGTTCTACCTCATAGGTGTCCTCGCAAGCCATGATCATGTTGCCCGGTCTGTGGCATTACAATGCTGCGTTACAGTTTTTTAACGAGGTTCAGCTAAGCCTAATAATCAACAACGACATTCAGTTAACTCAAATGTGCTTATGATCATGACTAATAACACATTCAAAATCGCGTAAAACTTGCCTGAGTACTTCTTCTGAGCAATATCGCGGAAAAAGTGCAGTATGATTCTTCTTTGCCTCTGTTGTCTGTCATTACTCTGTACAGAAATACATAGAAAAGTGAAAAGGGAATGTGTAAGGTCAAAGAAACCATAGAAAAATTTGTCCCTTCGTTTCAATTTGACTGTCTGGTTTTTGTGTCTTGAACATGTTACGTGGAACGTTAGAAACTAAAGAGTTGTTTTAAAGGAAAAGAGACGTTAAAACAGAGGGAGTAGCAAAAACTTAGCAACATAAGTGCATACATAAGGCAAAAACTTGTATCTGTTTTTGTGGTATGAGCAAGTTTACACAACATTTTGGTATTCCATCAACAAAATTTTCAGCCTTGTGTTTACTTAGACGTGAAACCGGAGTCTGTGAGCACATACTTTTTAGTGCACAGACAAAGAAACTCGAGGGCAAAAACACAAGGACTATCGTTAAAGAATGACAATAGTCTCACATCGGTGGTTAATGAGATGGGTGGATTCCTTATAAGGCTTGGGCAATCCTACTCCCTTTGAGATAGCTTCTGGGGTGTGAGTTAGGACTAAGACCTAATTTCTACGACTATACAGAAGACGAAAGAGTTATTGACATGATCAATACTTTCGTTGAACGCCTCCAATAGTCTTTCTTGAAGTTTTACCTTCGACTCCTTCAACAAAAGTAGTACATTATACAAGATGTAGAAATATTGATTAAACTTATGATGCAATACAAGGTTAATTACCTTATTTTAACGCGTCAAGCTAAGCTGGGACTTGCCACAGTCTGTTACAGGACTCCTTTTTTCGTAGCACAAGAAACTGAATTTAACAGTAAGAAAAGGAATAAAGGCAATAAGAAAACATCACAGTTGGTTTATAGCGCGGAAATGAATGATGAGAAGAAGACACAACGTAGAATATTTACCAGAAACAACAGCCATTTCTTACTTCTTTGCTGTGTTCAAAGGTAAAGATTCGGAACAAAAGCATTAACAACCTGCATAAACCAGAAGTCTAAAAAGTCCAGTTAGTTAGTTAATCGACAGCTCCAGGAAACAGTATAAGTATACGATGCCTGCTTAAAGGAGACGTAAAGATAAAAACTTTATTCACCTCTTCAACATAATCAAGGCAATGCATTCGACTTGTATCTTCAGTAGCAGTTACCGAGATTAGCTTTCAGATAAAAACATTATCGAATCATATACATATGCAGAGTCCTCTGCAGTGTCCTGATCAGCAAATGAAGTTTATGTCGAGAACACCAGAGATTTAAAACCAAAAAAAATGCTCATATTGAACCCCGGAAAGTAAAAGTACTTGTGATGAAACAAGATATGACAGATAAAAGCTTATGTCATTTACTCATATACACGTGAACGAATAAACATGTTGTAGATTTGGTAAATGTGAAATTACCTGTAGAAACACGACTACTTTATTCACCATTTCGTGTTAGTAAGGTTTCAAGATATCTGCACCACGTTAGTGACTGAACAACATGAATATACCTGAAGTTGCACTTGTCTATACAAACGAAACAACATTACTAGGCAACGATATGTACTTACAATGAATAAGTTTGATACGAGGAATATCAAATCATCCAATACTTCTATTAAATCTGGAAGAAGTTGCTGATTTGATATTGTTCTTGAAAATGCAGGCTCAGATACACTGACACCATGCCACAACAACAACATACCCCGTGTAATCCCACGAGTAGAATATAAGGAGAGTAGTATGTTGAACAACACACTATACTAAATCCATTTCCAAAAGCTAATTATGTTGAGCTATAAGATACTCACTCGAGATAACATAGCATATATCCCCTTTATCAATAAGAAATGAACGTTGAACCTAACTCAACCTCAAAAGTTAGCTTAAAAGATTATGATTGCACGAAACCATTATAAGGAGATAACGATTCATTTCCTCGAGCAATATGTGTGACATTAACACTTTCTGTAAGTACGCCAAGGACTAAACATCTGGGGCGTGGACAAACATAATATTGATATAAAACATTTAGTAAATAACCAAAACATAGGAACAAGTCTGAGTCTAACAAACTGATACCATGATGAATAAACGTTAGACATAACTCAATCTCAAAAACTAGCTTAAAGTATTACGATTGCCAAATCGATCCATTTCCTCCATCAATATTTATGTATGTAACATATCCTCACACCCCCTCAAGACTGAATAACTGGAGTGTGGACAATATAACATTAAGAACCAATACATAATAAATAACCAAGAAATAGAAATGGACTTACAAACTCTGATACTATAATAAGAAATAAACATTCTATTGTGACCAAATTTTTAATTTTCAAAACTAAATCCTAAGTTGAAAAATTCCCTTCTATAAGAAGATAACAACTCATTTCCTCCGCGAACATAAAGTACTTGACACATACCCCTGATTATGAACAATTACATGTAATTATCTTCAATGATTTAATTATGTAAAAAGTATCAATGATAATATATATACCTATTCATGACATTTTTCTTTAAAAAATAAATCAACATATATATGATATGCTATATCATTACATTATTTTATTTTAAAGAATTAATAATTTATATATAACTAGTATATGTGGGAGCCTCAAGTCAAAAGTAGATGATAGTGACTTCCAAATTCCTGGAGATCACAATTTTTTCTATATGTAATAATAACAATACATTAGTATATGTCTAAATTTGTGTCACAAAAACAGTATTAATACTATGCCAAAACTTTATAGAAAAGGTGGTGCATCTTCTTCTTTTGTTTTCCTTCTTTTGAAATTCATCAAATTTATATTGCTCGGATTTTTTTAAAATGTGGTCAAATTCATATCAAATTCTTCATGATAGTGCTCTTTTGAAGAATCGTGTGCGATAATATTTTTAGGGAATTCGAACAAGAAAATAAAATAGTGAATTTCAGTAGTTCGAAATAATGGCATCACTATTCACAAAATAAACTACATTATTTATTTTTTCTCTATACATCATTATTTGATAAATTATGAAGAAATTATTTGAGTTGTATTTCTGGTAAAATAACACTTTCACCTTACAAAACATTCAGACATATATATATTTTTCCAAGTGAAATTCATGTTTAAAACATAGACGAATATTGTGAACTATTGGATCTTAAATCCTTTGTATTAATTGAAAAAAAAAGTAAACAAATTTCACTCGTAAGATTAAACTGGATATGTTGTTGTAATTACCACAAACAGTATATTGACGACCGAAGGATGCAAAAAGAAAGGTAAATTAATCCTATGTTGCTCGGTCTCATAAAATATAGTCAAATACGTGTTGAATCCTCTAAAAATAGTGTATTTTTAAAAAAATCTGACACGAATACAACAATATTAATTTGAAGTGTCCTAGCAACATAGAATTAAAACCACGAAAAGAAAAAAAAAGGTACAAGATTTACTTACAAATGTGAAAATTTTTGTAGATTAATTTGAACAAGATGAGTACTCAGATGATAAGAGTTCATCTAATAGATCAGGACCTAAATCTTCAAATATCAACACATTTTCTTCTTTAATACTATTCTTCTTTTTTCTTGATGAAGTAGTACCATTTCTCTTCTTGTGTTTCTCTTTTAGGGCTGCAGCTGGACTTGACATAAACAATCCATCTTTGCTATTGATAAATTCCATTTTTGTTAGCGATTCGCGCACTTTATCTACTGAAAAATTCAAACAAGTTAAAGGACCTCTCATGCAAAACGCAGCTTGGTCATAAGTCAATGCAGCTTCTTCAGCAGTATCAAACGTTCCAAGCCAAACCCTAATTCCATTCCTTGTTGAATCCCTAATTTCAGCTGCATACTTTCCCCATGGCCTTTTTCGAACACCTATATAATGTTTTTTCTTATCTTCAACTTCAACTTCAACTTCGACTTTAATGTTTGAAATTAGTTTTTCATCATGATCTTCAATCTTCAAATCCATCTATAAATGGAGTTACTTTATGTGCTGTTATCTTTTGATATAATATGTATAATATATAATTTATATTATGTAGATATTTTTAGTATAAAGTATGGACTAATAATGAGTGGAACAACTATATATGTTTTCTACTGATTGCCCTTAAATATATACAAGGATATTATTGGAAAGTTATAATACCAACTTGTTTTTATTTATTTCAAATTTTAGCATGTTATATCGGGCAAATTTATCCGTACCGAATGTATACACCAAGCTAATACATGCATGTCATGTGTTTAGATTTATAGTTCATTTTATTTCATTAAATCACGTAATAATAAAAATTACATTGATTTGATGTGAATGCTCGATGCGGGTAAGTGTTTTCCTGTTATATCCTTTGAATGGTTAGATAGTGAAAAATATTAATTGTAAGGATCGATAATGTATTATGAAATTTAAACTCAGATTTGGACGAGTTTTATTAAATTCTTTATATATACACTGTCAATGTAAATAATAGTTACATAATAAGGTAATTTATTAGGAAATACAGGCAATTTTTTTTATAAGTACTAACTGATAAATTGATATAGATAATAAATATGTATGTGTGAAAAATTATTTTAAGAGATTCTTCTAGGGTTTTGTCTATTAGTGAGACTAGGAAAAAAGATTTACAACTGATCCACTTGCTTTAATTGCTAATATTGAGCTGTATAATGCTCATTAAGAGATTAATAAAATAATTAATTAATGTTAATGATAATTATTTGATTAATATGATCTAGGCCTCCCCCACCACCACAACTTGCTCCCCTACCTATAAAATAAAAAATAAAAAAAGGACAGAAAATGCAAATAATCTATAAATGAAAGTTTACATTTTATTTTTTGGAGTCTATATATATACCCTACATTTTTGGCTGCTTTAAATTTTTTTAAATACTATGGGTAATTAATTTATAATTAATTTGATATGTTCACGCTATTTACATTGTTTTTCAGATTAATAAATCCTCTTATTATATACTATCATAATAATTATCTTTTAAGTAATTTGATCGGTAGATGCTAAACCAATTTGAAACCTTCATAATATTTTCCTTCAAGTAGAACTTTATATATAATTCATAAAATTCAAATTTAGGTATCTAATTATGTAGTTAAAAGTAAAATGAAAAGAATTTCATTGCACATTAGTTAAATATATAATTAAATTAAATAATTACCTATTAGTAGGCCCTAGAATAAATTATGGCCAAAATTACACAGCAGCCTTTCCATTAATAGAGAATTGCAAATTTATCAAAACCTAATAGAATTGATAAGATGGACTATATATGTATAAATCATCTAGAAAAAAGGGAGAAGGACAAAAAAAATCGTTGAAAATATGATCTGTTCAATTCGTCTAATTTAAATATCAATTTATTCATGAATTTAATGGATATTCAGTTCATCTAAACGTTATACAAATTTAATTAATGATCGATTTATTTATTAACTCGATTGATTTTGATTCGTATGATTTAGCTGATAATCTATATGTTGAATTAATTTAAGCAGTAATTCCAATTTTCCTATGTTTGACACTGTTTTATCATAATCTAGTTATATATATATATATATATTACATAATGTAAAATATATCTAACTTGTTATTAAAAGGTACCTAGGTTCCATTAGTCAATTTACACCTATACAAAGAGGTGACACTTCTCCTAATTATTCCTCAGCATGACCAAATTTTACTGGATCGTGACAACAAAATCATTTTAAAGTATTATTTATTATATTTTTATCGAGTATTCAATTTATCTACTATGCTTCAAGTTGGTTATAATACGTCTCTTTTGTTAGGATATTCGTTTTTCTCTTTAATCACTAAGTTATAATTAAGTTTGAATAATGAAAATAAATCACTTTTGAATAGAAATTATTTTATTTTTCTAGCTCGAATTCTTATGAGTTAAATTTCAACTGAACGTCAGATATCGTGTAAAAAATAAAACGTACCTAATTTTTTTAATCATAAATATGGCATGTATGTATACAATTTTGTCGTATTTCTGTTTAATTTTATGAACAGAAAACTATATTATTGGTACTATAGTTGAAATAGATAACTTAATTAAATGCATGAAAAGTATCGATATTTTATTTAATGCTTTATTATTGTCCATTCAAGGAATTTAATTTGCCACTCCTTTTCTAGTCCATTCAAGATCGCCCTCTTTTATGTCTTCTCTTTCCTATTTTTGGAAATTTATAATTTTGAATTCAACGTAAAAAATGTGAAATTTAAAAAGTATATATTTATTTTAATTAAAAAATAAAATTAAAATAAAAAATGTCTTCCCTTTTTTTCAGTAATTTTTTTAATTTTAATTTTTTAATTAAAAAATAAATATAAATATATTCTCCTTATTAAATTAAAATAAAATAACAGATTTTAAGCATACGTACATAAATCATAATAATATATAAAATTTTGTTATATCTATCGACGCATATAAATTTAAATCTTCTTATTATTATAATAAAAATATTTGTGAGGCAAAAACTTTGGGCCTTACGTTTGGAAAATTTTGTCTTTTTCCGTCGGCTGTATATATACCCCACAACCACTTATTTTCTAATTATTAAAAGTAAAAACATTACATTAAATGACAACAACACTAGTGAAACCCTAAATATTTCTAGATTTATAAAATTTATTTTTTTACCTTCGTAGAGCAATGATAAAATTATTTTTGTATTCATTATAAATTATTAGTTCGAATCATAAAATCAAGTTTGTAACATTGATCACATGCATGTCGGCAAATTATATTTTATATGAGTGCGGAATACTTAGTGCATTGAACAATAATATTAAATGTGTAGTTAATTTTAATTCTATGCACCTATCTAAATTAACTAAATCTCTGATATATTGGCTCGATTTGAATTGACTCGATTCATCTAAGAAAGGACCATTTTGAACGTGTTATAGTGGATACTTATTAACAAAGTTGAAGCTAGATAAATTAAGGTTTGACTCGATTAAGCTATTTTTGCTTAAACTCGAATTTTTGTTGAATGATATATTTTTTCTTTAAGCTCGAAATTTATTAGCTTGGCTCATCTAATATAGGATCTACACTTGTGAACTAATTAAGTCAAATTCAAAGTCAAAAATATGCTACTAGTTGTCTCTGCTTAACTTGATTATTTTGCTGAATAATACATTTATTTTATGCATTTAAGTAATTAAACTAATTCGAATTTAGTTCAATTCTGGTTAAACTAAACTCTTCTTACCAAAAGAATATAAAATTAATAGGTAAAGCATAGTGTCATATTTAGTTAATCAAATTAAGAAAAATTCTTTTGGCCCGAATAATATTTTACGTGTGTTATTTTACCTTTAAAATATTTTTATCTTTTTAACTTTGATATTTTTTTAATTATAAAACGAAAAAAAAATATTTTAAAATAAAAAAAGTATATAGATTTTTTTTTAATTTCTGGCCAAATTCTGGCCTTAAATTAAATATTAATATTTGATAGTTGCAAAATCTATGCAAGATTATGATTTACAATGTAAGAGAGAATTATTGGTAATTAATTAAAGTATAAGAGAGAATTATTGGTAATTAATTAAAGTATTATAAACTAATTAATAAAGTGGGCACTTTTAAAGTGTTTAAAATTAGGTGTGTAATCAAATATTAATTGACAGACATAATGATTGTTAAAAATTATAATTAAATTAAACGATAAGAAAGAAAAGGAATAGAAATTTTAATTATGTATATGTTCATTGTTCACTTATGAAATGTAACAATAATCGTGAATTTTATATATATATATATATAAAATTATTTATCAAATATTATTATAGATTGAAGTGATATATATTATAATTAGTAGTTTATATCAAATTATTTATCGAATATTTTTATACATTAAAGTGATATATATTATAATTATTACTTTCGAACCAACTTATACGTTTACGTTTTGCTAATATATACGAATATTAAATAATTCGATTCAATAAATTTTTTACAAACCTCCTTTCTTTTTGGATATTATATATTTGTCATTTTCACATTTTCATACCTGTAAATAGATAAATAATTGATGAAATCTGATCATCAATTTTTATTATTTTTATTTTCAAATTCCAGCGTGCGACATAACACATTGAATTTCACCCTGGTTTGTCTTTTACTGTCGTCTCGAAGAGTTTCTAAATTTTTAAAAATTGGGTTCGTGTATAATTTTTGTTTCATTATCTATCGTAATTTTAAAAAATATCTTTCTCAAATTTTAAGTTGTTTTAAAAGTTTAAGACAAACTTCCTTTTTTACTCTATCTTATCCTCAGTAGCAGTATTCAGGGGGCGGCTTAACGTGATTGAAAATCTAAAGAAAATTTTAATTTGGAATTTAAAATATAAATAAACTTCATATATGTATTTATTCAAAGTTTATTTTTCTTACATTATTTAGATGAAAATTATTAGTATTTTAATATTGTTTTTTCATTTATTAGTTTAAAATTTTATACTCAACATTGAAAACATCCTTTCAATTGATAAATACTAAATAAAGATAAGAGTTAGAATCATAGAATTCGATGCAAGAAATTGATGATTTGGTATACCCCATTTTAATATGCTTGTATTAATGCTTGAAATTAAAATTTAAAAATAAAAAAAATTATAATTCACTTTGTTCAACACTTTTCGCTATTAGTTCTTATTTTTAACAAAGTACAAAATATGTTAAAGTGGTAAAATAATATATTTTTAAAAAATTATACTTTATCATAAATAATTAATCTTTTATAGAAATTTTAACACAGCGTTGATAAAATTTGGGGGGCCCGATATTTGAGGGCCTAAGACAAAAACCTTATTTCTCAAGGCATAGAGCCGGCCCTGGACTACTATGTAATTGTTTTTGAAGACGATAAATACTTCGTAAATATTTAATGAAGAGAGATTATATCTTAAGACATAAATAAAAATAAGTAAATTAAAATATATTCTAATTAATATTTTATTATTAAAAAACATGTAAAAGAACATAACAAATAATCTAAGATTAAAAAAAAAAAATTGAAATGATCTAGGTTTTGCTTGGGGTCAAATAACGTACTCAAAAATCAAAATTGATTTTTTAAATTTGGGCTCAAAATTAAGTTTCATTTAATTTGCTTGTTTTGTTTGTTCTCCATAATTTAATTAATCATAAAAATCAACCTAACAAAAATATAATTTGTTAATTCCATATTTTTTTCTTCAAGCAGTGACACTTTTTTAAAATAATAAAAAATAAGGGGTGTCATGTAACATTAGCTACCACATAAATACACCTGCTAATTAACAAGACAACTTGTTGTAATAATAGATCGATACTATTTTAATTGATATAAAATATTTCTTATGCAACGAATGATACTACTTTAATTGATATAAAATATTTCTTATGCGATGAATAAATTAAAATAAGTTGAGTTCCGGGCAAGCAAGCGGGGCTGAGTTTGAAGAGGATCATTTTGGGATTGATGTCCTCTTGCATATTTTTTCAAAAATTATTTTGACTAAAAGGATTAAAATGTGGGTCACAATTAACATGTACGATCCTTGTTAAATTTAATTTTTCTTTAAATATATAATTATTATAGAACCTTTAATTTTGAATGCCATCCTAAGGTTATATTATATAACTCTTATCGAACTTTAGAAATGGAAAAAATTTCAATAAGGAAAACTTCATGTGAATCTAAATTAATATAGTCCGTGAGTTTCAGATACAAAGATAATATTTGGGCCTTGAGGCTTGTTTGGCTCAACTTATTCATAATTTCCAACTACAACAAAAATGTGAACTTCAAAGAGAAGAGGAATCAATTCATTACATGCTTATAAGCCGTCTTATGTTGCTAAGACTCTCTAAAATTCTAAAATTATAATCATCTATCTGTTGGTACTTCAAAATCTAATTATCGATCAAATCAAAATTCTGAATTCGTTTATGCATGGGAAGTGATTAACAACTCAAAATGTCTACTTCTCCAATCTTTTAATTATTTTTAGTTAGACATTAATGATACATCATAGGTGAAAAGGCCATAAGAATGAGGTCGTTGAAGTGGGAATAAGAAAACATATATGAATAGATATTATAATTAATTGACTAGCAAGTGATATCATTCTTGTTGTTGGAATAATAATCCTAATTGTCAACTTTTACTATTTGAAGGACCATATATTATGAACAAGCTAAGTGAACAAAAGAAACCTCCAAATTATTCAAAATTTTTTTTTGGTAAATCATAAATTAATGAATACTAATAATATATAATTAGTTTGATTGAAGTACTTTAGTATTTTTGGAACCTAAAGTCAAAAGAAATGATAGTGACTTCCTAATTTTTGAAGATTGCAATCTTTAGCTGAAAATATGTGATTATGGTTATGTCAGAAAAATCTACAACAATAATAATACTATATTTGATATAACTTCACAAATAATTTTTTTTTTAAAAATTAAATATACAGAAATTTTATCCCTACCAATGTTAGTAAAATCTAATATATGAAAATAGAATAAAAGCAAACTTTGGAATAATAGCTAGAAGGAACAAACAATGGTTGATGTAAATAAAAAAAATCATTCAACTGAACTTGATACTTTTTGACATGATGAATTTATACATAAAAACACAAAGTATATAATTGTGTAATCATAATTCAATATACAGAAGTAAAACTCTTAATATTAAATTCTGAATTCATCCATCAAAGCGAAAAATTAAAAAAAAAGAAGATAACAAGTAACCCTCTCTAGGGTTAATTCCAAATAAGTTTGAGATAAAGAATTTTCACATCTCATTCGATCTATAAACTTCATTTCTCAATCGATTTTGTACATGTCATACTTGCATACAATTCTAATCTTTTCTATATCGTTTCAATAGAAAAACAATTGAAAAAAAAAATGGGAAAGCATGAACAAGGAACAAACATACTTTCAATTTTTTTCTTTTTTTTGAGATTTACTAGATGTAGAAATTTGTACATTAATTTGAACTTGAAGAGT